AATGAAGGGAAGTCCAGCGCAGATGTTATTTTTCCTATGGTGTGCTGAGCAGAATAATGGCCCTCCAAACATGTCCACGTACTAATTAATCCCTGGCCCCTGTGAATATGTTATTTAACATGGCAAGGAGGGATTAACGTTGCAGATGGAATTAGGTTGCTAATCAGCAGGTCTTGAGATAGGGAGATTATTCTGATTATCTGGATGGGTTCAATGTAATCACAAGGGTCCTTCTAAGGAAAAGAGGAAGGCAGGAGAGTGAAGGTCAGAAGAGGAGACTGTAGGCAGAGGGCAGAGTGACGCAACTGTTGGCTTTGAACATAGAGAATAGGCTACAGAGCCATGGAATATGATGTCTTCCAGAAGCTGAAAAGGCAAGAAAATTAATTCTGCCCTACGGCCTTCAGGAGGAATGCAATGCTGCCAACATGTTATAACCTACAGAATGATAAGACAATAAATTCCTGTTGTTTTTAAGCTAATTTCTTGCCATAAATCTCTTAATATGTATCTCCTACTGGTTCTGCTTCTCTGATTGAACGCTGACTGAGATACGTGGTAACTGCCTTGATTCCCATTTTAAAAAACTATAAAATGTTGGGCCAGCCCGGTGGCGCACTGGATAGTGCGCCGCTTGGGAAGTGCGGCGGCGCTCCCGCCCGAGGGTTCGGATCCCACATACAGACCAGTTCCCGCTCACTGGCTGAGCGAGGCGTGGGAGCAACACCGAGGGTTGCGATCCCGTTGCCGGTCCCCGGTCCGGTACGGGGGCAACACTGAGGGTTGCGATCCGTTGCTGGACACGGAAAAAGACAAAAGACAAAAAAAAAACAAAACAAAACTATAAAATGTCAAATTATTTAAAAATGTTAGAGGCTGGCCTGTTAGCTCAGCAGTTACAGCGTGGTGTTGTAACACCAAGTCAAGTGTTCGGTTCCCTGTACCGACCAGCCACTACCACAAACACAAAAAAGTTTGTTGGTGCCCCTGTTTTGTTGACAGCTTCAGTATTTTCTAAGCTCTGAGAAAATAGTGATGAGCAAGACCTCAAGTTTCCACATCTGTAAAACTGGACTAATAAGATTTCTTACCATACAGGGTTATAAGGATTAAATAAATGACTGAGCTTAATGCGCTTGGAATAATGCCTGGTACAGAGTAAGTGTTCAAGAAACGTTAGAAGAGATAAACGACAGAAAAAGGCAGGAGAGAGAAAAGATCCTTGCTTTCAGGGAGCTTATATCCTAGATATAAATGGATAAACTCAGGACAGAAGGAAAGAAGGAAGGAAAGGAAGAAGGGAGGGAAGAAGGGAAAAAATATCTGATTGTGACAAGTGCCTCAGAAACACTTCCTTATGTTTAAGACATTAGCTCAGGGACTGGTAGCCTACGAGCCAAATCCAGACTGCCACCTGTTTTCATATGGCTTATGAGCTAAGAATGGTTTCACTTTTTGGGGGTGGGGGTAACAGCTAGACAGTACAGGGGTTGAACCCTGGCTCTCGGGTGTTATCAGCACTGTGCTCTAACCAACTGAGCTAACCGGCCAGCCCTGGTTTTACACTTTTAAATGGTTGAAAAATAACTCATGAGGGCTGACCTGTTAGCTTAGTTGGATAGAACGCAGCCTTACAACCCTCAAGGTCATGGGTTCACATCCCCCTATAGGCCAACTGCCAAAAAAAAAAAAAAAAAGAAAAGAAATGAAAAGAATAATAGCATTTTGTGATGTGAAAATAATGTGAAATTCAAATTTCAGTATCCATAAAGTTTTATTGGAACACAGCTACACCTACTTATATGTTCTATGTGCTTTTACATTATAGAGTTGAGTTGTGACAGAGATCACAAAGCACACAGAGCCTACAATATTTACTATCTGACTCTTTACAGAAAAAGTTTGCCAATCCCTGCCTTAGACTGAGTGGTCAGGGAGGGCCTTGCTGAGGAGGTGACATTTAAGCTGACCTGAATGACAAGATGGAGGAAGACTGGAAGTAAGGAGGGAAGAGCAGTCCAGACAGAGACAACGGAAAACAAAGGCAGGAACCTCCTCTCTAATCCTCTAATGGCCTGCAAAAAGTGTGATGAGGCCCTGAGCCTCTGAGGGTGGGAGACAGGAGTGCCTGGCACCAGAACTTGCTGCACCGTAGGCCGGCCCCTTCCCTGGTACAGCACAGAAGCCCAGGAACTGCGTGTTGAATGGCTTTGTTTGCCTTCCTGGGGCAGTGACCAGGGATTTTATATTCATTCCCGGGAACAAGTGAGAAGAACCTGGGACTCGCCCACGGGCCTGAGAGCAGGTGCTCTGCAGCCTCATGATTGGTAATAGGCCCAGAGGAGGCCAAGGCCAAGAACCCTATGGCCATCACAAAGCCCTGATCTGGTCTTGACAGCAGAATCTAGCAAGGGCAGTAAATGGGTCAGTGGGTAGAGAGGGTCGGCCCTCCCTGAATTCCAGCAAGGTGGAGTTTTTTGGTGCTGGTAGAGGAGTGAGAGCAGCAAGCCCTCAGTTAACAGGTGTGACCGGAGAGAACCCAGTTTACAATCCTTTGTGGGCCAGTTCATTCCTGCCAGGCTCTGTGCTAAGGGAGGAAAGTAACCTAATTAGCCCAATTTGAGAGCCAGAGAAATTGAGGCAGTGGAGAGCAATAGGGCTGCTGGTTAAAAACACAGACTGCACCTGAATCCCAGCTAAACCATTTGCTAGCTGTGTGACTTCAGGCAAGTGGCTTGACTTCTCTGTGCTTCTGTCTGTGGATAATAGTATCTGCCTCAAAGACATGTAAGCAATTAAGAAAACAATAGTCCAGCACCACACCCCCAGAAAGGATTCAGCAAACATTGGCAGATCCGAATCACATTCTCTGTTAGCTTTGACAATAGTCATAAGAGGTCTCGGAGGGTGGAGAACTCAGGGTTTGAGCTAGACAGATCTCTTTTCCACTCAGTTCATCAGGGCCAAAACCCTGACCTCATCCTTGACTCCTTTCTTTTACATGCCATAACCCATCAGCAAACCCTGCCTTCAGTATGCACCCCGAGTCCAACAGTTTCTGCCACCTGCACAGTATCACCTTCATCGAAACTTCCATCAGCTGTCACCTAGAGTATTGCAAAGCCCTCCTAGCTGGTCTTGGGGCTTCCATCCTTGCCTCCTCCTACCCCCACCCCCAATCAACTTCTCATGAGTAACAAAGCTGCTGTCATACCTCTGTTCAAAACCCTTCTGTGGGGCCAGCCTGTGGCTCACTTGGGAGAGTCTGGTGCTGATAACACCAAGGCCACAGGTTCAGATCCCTATATAGGGATGGCCAGTTAGCTCACTTGGGAGAGTGTGGTGCTGATGACACCAAGTCAAGGGTTAAGGTCCCCTTACCAGTCATCTTTTAAAACAAACAAACAAAAACCCTTCTGTGACTCCCAATTCTCATTTGTTTATTTATTCAATCATTATTTATTATTGTCTACTATGTGCTAGGTACTGTTCTAGGTACTGAAGATAAAACGGAGAAGAAAACACAAAAATCTCTGCATTCGTGAAGCTTCCATTCTCATGGAGGGAGATGGACAATAAACACAAGTAAAACGCATAATATGTTAGGTGTCATGTGGAAAAACAATTCAGGGAAGATTGGGGGCCTTGAATTTAGTAGGGTGGTCAGGGAACTAGGGGCATCAGGAAGGCCTAATGTAAGGATTAAACAAAAGCCTGAAAGTAGAAAAGGCAGGTGCTAAAGAGCTACCTAGGAGCAGAACATTCTTTTTTTTTTTTTTTCCTTTTTGTCTTTTTTTACTGACCGGTAACGGGATCGCAACCCTTGGTGTTGCACCCGCACCGCACTCAGCCAGTGAGCGGGAACCGGTCTCTCTCCAGTGCGCCACCGGGCCGGCCCAGGGAGCAGAAAATTCTAGACAAAAGGCCCAGCAAGTGACAAAGCAGAAGTGTTCCTGGTGTATTTCCGGCACAAGGAAAAAGACATGGTGACAGTGGTGGAAATTGTGTGGGAGGGGAGACCAGCATCCATGTCAGAGAAGTAAAGGGGGCAGGATTCAGTCCTGTAGGTTCTCCATGGTTTTTCCCTCTGAATGAAATTGCAAGCCACTGGAGGTTTTGAGTAGAGGAGTGACTGGAGTTTTAAAGGATCACACTCTGGCTGCTGTGTGGAAGACCATGAGGAACAATGGTGGAGTCAGAGAGACCACTCAGGGAGCTGCTCCAATTATCCAGATGAGATACGGTGGGTTGGACCACGAAGGAAGATGGCAGCAGAGGTGGCAAATCTAATCCAAAAGCCTTACAATAGGGTACTGGCCTTCCTGATGAGTCCCACCTACCTCTCCAACCTTACTTACCTTATTCTTTCCTGTACCCCAACCCCACGGGCCACTACTAGGCACACAGGAGGTGTTTATTATGTATTGGTTGAGTCAATGAACAAATTAATGAATGATCCACCTGTAGATCATCAGCCCCTATTTAAATGTTAGGCATATAATCGGAACTCAAGAAATGTTTACATATGGAATATTGAACAATCCTGCAAAGTCCACGTTGTTATTCCTCTTTACAGCTGAGTTAAGACTTTTCCTGTAGCTTGAGGCTCAGACTGGGGAAGTTGTCCCCACTGGAGTTCCTTGGCACAGCCGAGTCTAGCCTCTGAGTCTTCCCAACTCTTAGCAGAACGAAGTCCAGGGCGCTGGGTGGAGAGTATTTGCCCTCAGGGTGAGTCACAGTGACTTCACGGGAGTTTCACCAAAAACGTCCCCGCCCGGTGGTGAAAAATCGGAAAATCTTGGGACCAAATGGTCACGTGCCGCAAGCCAGACGCGAGTCCTGAAAGTCCCCAGAAGGGTCCTCCCACGAGCCTCTTCCCACCCTCGGGCCACCGAGACGAAAGGACAGAGAGCCGCCCGCTTACGGCCGAGGCCCCGCCCCTCGCTCGCCGGCCCGCCCGCGCCTCCAGCGGAAGCCGGAAGCAAAAGTGGGCCGCGGCTCTGAACTCGGTGGTTTTGGAAGCTCGAAGGATGGGGGAGAAGATGGCGGAGGAGGAGTGAGTGGGTTTTTCCCGGGCGGCGGAGGAGGCAGGGCTGGGCCCCGGCGGGTGACAGCGAACTCCTCAGGCCGCCCTCCGGCCCTAGAAGGCGGAGCTCCTTGTGCTGGTTGGCCAGGACCGACCATGCCGGCGCCTACAAGGAGGGCGGGATGCGCAGGCCTGGGCTTAGTCGGGCCCTGCATTCTCCTTGAGGTCTGACCCTGGCCTGGGGATCGGCTGCCCAGCGCCGGCCCCGAAAGTGCAACCTATCTTTCACTTTTCCAGTTTTCGGTCATCTGAGGATTACTGAGCACTCCTCCGCCTCCTCCAGGAAGTCTTTTACACCCCCCCCCCCCCCCCTCCCCCCCCCCCCCCCCCCCCCCGGGAGATTTTTTTCCCCCCCCCCCCCCCCCACTTAGTCGCAGCCTCCTCTGTAACGATCAGTTTTCATGTCTGTTTCCTACACTAAGTTTCATTCATCCTAACTGTTGGCCATCGACTAAATTCCAGGCTCTGGGTAGATAAAAGAGGCAGACTAGGGGCTGGCCGGTGTGCTCAGTTGTTTAGAACACAGCCTTGTAACACCAAGGGTTCGGATCCCGTACCGGCTAGCCGCCAAAAAAAAAGAAAAAAGAGGGCAATCGGGAGCCGCTGTCAGGGAGTTTCCACTCTAGAGAGAAAAGAAGACCATAAGTAGACAAGGTGGTTTAAGATCGTGATAAGTGCTTTGTAGGAAATGGAATAGTGTTAGGGTGAGGGAGCCTACTCAGGAAGAAGTGATATTCAAGCTGAGAATTGAATAACCAGAAGGAGGAATGAAGGTAACATCAAGTTCAAAAGGCCTTAATCAAGAAAGGGCTTAGTGCTTTTGAGTGACAGGAAGAAAGGCAGATGGCCGGAATCTAGAGAGCAGTGAGGCTAGCTGTACCAGATGAGATAGAGAGGGGGTCTGTGTCCTCCAGGTACTTCAGAGCAGGGACCACTGTTAGTCCATGCATGTAGAGCACATTCTGTTGCATGTTATAGATTCCCTGTGTTTGTGGAATGAATATGTGAAGATTAACAAGGAACCCCTTGATTGATACTGGACTCCCTCATCTGATAACTTTTCAGATCTGTCTCTTGGCCAGATGGGGGTCATTTCATTTAGCCATCTTATGTACTTATTTATTTGGGGGCAGCTGACTGGGACAGGGATCTAACCCAGGACATTGGTGTTATCAGTGCCATTCTCTAACCAACTGAGCTAACTAGTTAGCCCTAGTCAGCTTATTTACTGAGCATCTGCTCTGTCCCAGACACTAAACTGGGCCTCAGCAGCGCAAAGCAAAAGAGGTGTGTAGCCCAATGATTTCTAATTTGGGTTTGAAGCTTGATTCTGCCACTGACTGAGATGTTAGCCATGTTACACAAACTGTCTGAGCCTAAGTTATTCATGGGTCAAAAAGGGAAAGTAATAGTATTCACCTCAGGCATGTTATGCCTATTAAGTGAGAAGTGATATATTACCTACTTCCTGGAATGAAGCATTGCTTAATAAATATTAATTGTTATAATCATAATTTCAATTATTATTATATCAGTATTGCACTAGTTCATAATCCCAACACAGTGTGAGGAGAGAGCTGTGGGAACGAAGAGGTGGGGTGGGTGAATTGGGGTGGGGTGGAGTGTTACAGAGGAGGTAACATTAGAGTCTTTTGAAATCTGAGGATTTTGTAAGGTAGGGTAGTATGTTCTGACCAGATCAACCACTGGGCAAATTCAGGTGATTCTTCAACTTGCAGAAATAATCCAAGGAAAAGAACGTAAGCTGGAGAAATAAAGACCCTAAATAAATAGTTTTGGACCTTGGAATGTTATGAGACTCCAGCCTGCCTCCCTTAAAATCCCCCATTAAGTGACACAGAGCAGGCAGCATTTCATTTCTATGCCAGTCCTGATTCCCCCTTGTTTCTGCCCTTTAAGTGACTGCATACAGGAGCGCCCAGGGCCACTAGTACCCTTGTACTGCACAGGCAGGCATTTTCTTAATCAGTTTCTCTCCAAGGTCTTCCTGTTTCTTGCAAGACTTGTGAATCTCCTAAAGCTCTTTGCCAGGTTCTCTTTCTGGTTCAAGGTGTGGGTGTTGATACTCCTTTTCTCTTTTATCTAATTCTGCTGCTTTTTATATCCAGCAGGTTCCCCAATACAACACATGAGGGTTTCAATGTCACCCTTCACACCACCCTGGTTGTCACAACAAAGCTGGTGCTTCCAACCCCTGCCAAGCCCATCCTTCCTGTGCAGACAGGGGAACAGGCTCAGCAAGAGGAGCAGTCAAGTGGCATGACCATCTTCTTCACCCTCCTCGTCCTAGGTGAATACGGAGATGCCCTTGGCTGCCATGTTTGTGTGCTCTGTCTGTATGGTTAACCCAGTCCCCACTGTTTTCTTTGTCAAATCTTCCTCTCATTTGGTTTTCACTTCAAAAACTAAGGGAAAATGACCAGTTCGTAACATAATAATAGGACACCCCTTTTCTTTACAAAATCATAGAGCTTAGCAGTTCGAAAGAACCCCTAATGTAATAACTTAGCCCTTGAATGAAAGAATTAAAGAATTTTTGAGCTAGAAAGAATCTTCAACACCTAGTTTTGTGGATTTTAAATTCCGCTCATACATGCGTGCGTACGCGTGTGTGTGTGTGTAGATGGTGGTAGCAGGAGGAGTAAAATGGGGGAGTATCCAACCTCTTGACCCTAGCTTTAACCAAAGCAGCATTTTGTCTATTATGTCAATTAGGTTTCCATGTAAGTTTATTTAGTTAAATATTTTGCTGTTATGAAAGAGCAGAAACCCTTGCCCCAGCACCCTGTTTTCCTCAACTTTTATCATTCTCATTAATCATGGCCATGACTTTTGTATATATCAGTACTACCTGTACTGTTATTTACTTATTTTTTTTTGGGGGGGGGGGGTGCCTGCCTGGTACAGGGATCTGAACCCTTGCTTGACCTTGGTGTTATAACATTGCATTCTAAGCTACTGAGCTAACTGGCCAGCCTGTGTTATTTACTTATGTAATATTTTTGTTTACATGGATTCACTCTCACAGACTTAAAATCTCATATTGTTCAATCTCTTCCTTTAGAGGGTGAGGAAGGGTCAACCCCGTGGCGCACTCGGAAGAGTGCTGCGCTGGGAGCTCAGCGGCACTCCTGCCGCAGGTTCGGATCCTATATAGGGATGGCTGGTGCGCTCACTGGCTGAGCGCGGTGTGGGTGACACCACGCCAAGGGTTGCGATCCCCTTACCGGTCACAAAAAAGACAAAAATAAATAAATAAATAAATAAAGGGTGAGGAAATTCAGGCCCAGGGAGGTGAAGAGATTGACATACCTGGTTATTGGGAAACTAGAAATGGATATCCATGTTACTAGACATCAGTCAAGAGGTTTAGATAAAAAACAAAAACTTAAATGCCTCTCAGAGACAGGAGACGGTAGACAACTGTTTTAGACAAAAGAAATCCAGTTAAAACTACGCAGCCACTTTTGATTAGTTGAATAAGGAAGAAATAGCTTAGAGTTTGACCCAAGTCCAAGCTCTTGTTTGAATGTGAAGTTGGTACGTTTTCTGCTTTTCTTTAATGATACCAAAGTCGTACTTCTAGTTAGAGTAGATCTTTTCAGAAGGTTGAAAGGAAGAACTAGGTTTTTATTGATGTCTGTTAGAACTGTTTTTTGTGGAAAAGTGTAACTTTCACATTTATTTTCAGACTCTGGTAAATGGTCAAAGAATTTTAATAATGTAGTCATTTTATTTGAAATTTTAAGACTCGTCTGTCATAGAGTTTTAGAAACTTTTAAATTGAATACCGAAAGTGTACAATACCCCATATAAATTTAATATACCCTGGTAGTTTTTTACCCTGTAAATAGTTGAATTCTATTTCAGGGGATTACTTCAACATTCAAGGACTCTTTTGTTTTGTTTTTCTTTTGTGATAGTAGTTTAATACAAAGAAGAAAAGCAGTTCTCATCTTGCTTAATAAATCTTTAGTAGCGGAAGTCTTCCTTTGGGATTAAGTAGTATTATTAATCTTTACATTGCTGTCAACTTGATACATAAGAGAATATAAATGGGAGGCCTGGAAGAAACTTTTGTAATCACCTGTTTAAAGGTGGGGTGAAAAGTATAAGACTTTCAAAGTAACTTTCAGGGTGTAGAGCCTTTAAGATTAGCTATGCCAGAGACTATAAAACAGGTTTTAATAATGTGTTTTTAAATCTAGGCAAAATCCTGCTCCGTGGGGCTGGCCCGGTGGCTCACTGCTACAGTGTGCCGCTTGGGAGCACGGCGGCACTCCCGCCGAGGGTTCGGATCCCACATACAGACCGGTTCCCGCTCACTGGCTGAGCGAGGTGCGGGTGCAGCACCGAGGGTTGCGATCCCATTGCCGGTCCCGGTCCGGTACGGGTGTGACACTGAGGGTTGCGATCCCGTTGCTGGACACGAAAAAAGACAAAAAAAAAAAAAAAATCCTGCTCCGTGTTGATACATCTTTGGGGCTAGAAAGGGCTGAACTGTATTTAATAGTGCTGTGTATTTCTCCTGGATTGGCTTCTCTTCAAATAGATCATACACTTAGACTCTAGAGTCACACTAATGTTAGGTGGGTTTTATTTTCACCTAATCAGATTCTTCATAGTTTATGAGTTGGTATCTCCATGATGAGTAGGTTGGTGTGCACTAGCAGAATGGAATGACGCTTTCATTTTAAGTAAATGTGAAGGCATTTTTCCCTCTGTTCATGTATATTATCATTTAGTGCTGGTTAGATGTCCAAACAATGTAAATTTGATAAGATGAAAAAAAAAATTACTAGTAATAGATAACTTGCTAACTCACTAACTATGTGAACTATAATGAATTGAGGGAAATCAGTCCATACTTTATTCTAGACCTCAGAACTCCTGACCTGGAACTTACTACTTTTGCTTACAATTTTAATTAATTCACATGAAATTGTAACTTTTTTGTTTTGTAAGCACATTACAGGATGACATGTGTCCCTTTTTGTTGAGAAGGGATGCTAATACTCTGGGTACTTTCTTTTTTTTTGGTTGCTGGCAGGTACAGGGATCTGAACCCTTGACCTTGGTGTTACAACACCACACTCTAACCAGATGAGCTAACTGGCCAGCCCTGTGGTTACTTTTGACTTTTAGAGGCTTGAAATCAGTTGACTTGCATTTAACCCTTGCTGATCTTTGACTTATGAGAAATAATAATGAGTCATTGTTATTGACTTACAATTAACTATTAACATCATTTGACACACACATTTTATGGACCATTAAACTTAATGGAGTTATTAAAATGGACATGTCTGTGCTTTTTTTTTTTTTTTTTTCCTTTTTGTCTTTTTTACTGACCGGCAACGGGATCGCAACCCTCGGTGTCACGCCCGTACCGGGGACCGGCAACGGGATTGCAACCCTCGGTGTTGCGCCTGCACCGTGCTCAACCAGTGAGCGGGAACCGGTCTCCACATGGGATCCGAACCCTTGGCGGGAGCGCCGCCGCGCTCCCAAGCGGCGCACCCTCCAGTGCGCCACCGGGCCGGCCCAACATGTCTGTGCTTTAATATATTTTTCATAATTACTACTTCAGGCATGAAATATTGGAGGCACATTAACTAATGGTATACACACCCTTCATACCACACAGAAGTTTTTGTTCTTTCTTGCTGTTTTTTCCAAGTATACTTGAAAACAAATGCTTGTATTTGTATATACATATGTATATTCATAAACACGTATACATTAACAGGTACATACATGTTCAGACTTTGGAGTTTGTTTTAACATAAATGAGTCCTATAGCTTGTTTTTTCATATTACACAGGATGTCTTGGAGATCTTTCTATGTTGGTGTTTTCTATATGTCGCATTCTCTTTTTTTATCACAGTAAAATACACATGATGTAAAATTTACCGTTTTAACCATCTTAAAGTGTACAATTCAGTGGCATTTAGTATGTTCACAATGCTGTGCAAGCATCATCACTATATAGTTCCAGAACATTTTCCTCACCCCAAAGGGAAACGTTAAAAGCAGTCACTCCCCATTTCTCCTTCCCCTAATCCCTGACAATCACTGTCCTGCTTTTTGTCTCTAGAAATTTGCTTATTCAGAATATTTCATATAAATGGAATCATACAATATGTGGCTTGTTGTGCTGGCTTCTTTTACTTAGCACAGTGTCTTCATTTTTCATCCATGTCATAGTGTAGCATATGTTAGAATTTCATTTCTTTTTATGGCTGAATAATATTCCAGTATATGGACATACTACATTATGTTTATTCATTCATCAGTTGATAGACATTTGGGTTGTTTCCACCTTTTGGTTTGGGTTTTTGTCCTTTGGGTTTTTTTTTTTTTTTTGGCAGAGGGGTGGCTGGCCAGTATGGGGATCTGAACTCTTGACCCTGGTGTTATAACACCATGCTCTAACCAACTGGTGTTTCCACATTTTGGCTATTGTGAAGAATGCTGCTATGAACATTTGTGTACAAGCTTTTGTGTGGATGTATGTTTTTATTTCTCTTGGATATTTACCTAGGAGTGGAATTGCTGGGTTAAACTCTGTGTTTAACTTTCTCAGGAGCTACCAAACTGTTTTCCACAAGTTTGTACTGTGGTACAAGGGTTCCAATATCTCCACATCCTTGTCAAGACTTGTTATTTTCTGCTTTTGTGTTTTTAAAAATTATAGCCGTCCTAGTGGGTGTGAAGTCATATTTCGCTGTAATTTTGATTTGCATTTCCCTAATGATTATTGATGTTCAGCATCTTTTCATGTGATTATTCGCTATTTGTATATCTTCTTTGGAGAAATGTCTATTCAGGTCCTTTGTCTATTTTTCAATTGTAGTGTTTCTTTGTTGTTGAGTTGTAGGAGTTCTTTATATAATCTTTATATGTTCTATTTACTTGACCATTATCAGATATATGATTTGCAAATATTTTTTTTTTTTGTCTTTTTTCCGTGTCCGGCAACGGATCGCAACCCTCAGTGTTGCCCCCGTACTGGACCGGGGACTGGCAACGGGATTGCAACCCTCGGTGTTGCTCCCGCGCCTCGCTCAGCCAGTGAGCGGGAACCGGTCTGTATGTGGGATCCAAACCCTCGGACGGGAGCGCCGCCGTGCTTCCCAAGCAGCGCACTATCCAGTGCGCCACCGGGCCGGCCCGATTTGCAAATATTTTTGTCTTTTTAGACCTATCCTTTTTAATGGCTGAAGACCATTACCTGACTTCGATAAATCTCATATTTATCTCTTTCTCTCAATAGATGGTTTTCCCTT